AGATGAGGTAGAGTGATGATGCCACTAATATGTAAAATGTAATATTACTCAAAGCTCTAACAAACCCGACGTTATTTTACAAATAAAAGCATAAAATAGCTCTGTTACATCATTTATAATAACAATTGATAATTTAAAACAAATAAATTTACCTATTTACTTATATTTTGCTTAAAAATATCACTTTGAACAAAATATTTAAATTTCATTGAAGTGCAAGGTATTAATATGGCCACAACGAAATTGTGTACATGCAAAATGGACAACTGCGTTGTTTTTTGTACATGCCGGCCATTGTTATGTTGCTGCTCTCTCACAAACGTTCTTGTAGTAGGATTCACAACGCCATTTTCAGTTCACTGTCGTGCTGCTGCAGTCTGTCGCTAGCATTGTGTTCCACACATAATACGCTCTGAATCTATCAAGGAAATTTAAAATTAATGTTATTTGAATAAAGTAGTAATATTAAGTCAAAGGAACTAATCTTTGCAAATAAGATTCCAAGCTTTACCAAAACATTAACAATAGTAAGCCCTGAACTGATTTCTTAATTCCATATTAATTATAGAGAAGGTCCAAGTACGGCATGGATAATATGATACGAAACTCTTTGATTCGAGAGAGAGAGCTGTCAAAACTCGCATTTTGCCAATGATGCCACTGCTGAAAAATATTAGATTTTGTATTTAATAAATTATACAAAACACTAAATTAAACACTTTGAAAATGCATACATATATAAATGCTAAACTGCAAAATCATTCATTAATTTACTTATTTTATTTGCCAAAATATGTTCGCACAGTTCAATGAAATTTCATTTCAAACTAATTTTGACAGGTAATTATAGCGGTTTACTTCTGGCATCCCGCCTTTTCTGAAATCAACTGTTAGAAATTATTTTGTCTACTGCCCACTTTGAGAATAAATATTTTTTTAGCGCCCCCATTTTTTCACCTATTTAAAAACCACTATAACTTCAAACTAAATTAATTAATTATTGTGACCTATATATATGTATATGTACGTACATATATTAACGGATAATTCTAAACGCAACTTTTACTATAACACGCAACKTGACTTGCATCATGGCAAATGACAAAATTTCAGTTTCCGGTGCGGCCCTTTAGCAACAGGGGGGATTTGGTTAGCAGAACTTGAACAATGGAATTATATTAAATTTCATATTCTTTACATTGCGAAAATATGCATGAAGTTGAACTTTTGGAACGTCGCGCCTATTCGTAAATTGTTGTTGCCTATTCGTAATATGTCGTGTTTTTTGTTGTTGGCTTTTTGAAAGAAGCAATGGTTTGTATTATATTTGCGATCAAGTCTGTTTTTGTATTTACGAGTAAAAACAAAGATGCAGAAGGAATGACGCTTTGCAGTGTATATTTCAAAAGAATTTTAGCATTGAATTGACTTTTGTTTTTGAATATGCTCTGGTTAGAGCATGTGTGCATATGTTAATATGCGATTGATCTTCTACGTGAATGGATGTACGCTCCCTTGCGCTTGAAACAAATTTTGATTTTTGTTTGTACACATACAGAGAAACATCTAACGGACACCTCTATTAGACGGACACCTCCCTTGGGCGGACATTTTTCATGCACCAAGTTTTAAATACAATTTTCAGAACAAATCGCCCTCCCTTAGGCGGACACTCTCTTGGCCGGACGCGTACAGTTCATTGCTACATAGTTGAACGAAAGCTCTTATCGATGGGCATTGACTTCTGTTTTCACAATAAATCAATCAAAAACCTCTCTTGGGCGGACGCGAACCCCTCGTAAGCGGACAAAATATGAGAATGTGTGTATGGCGTATGTATAAATAACAGATTATAACAAATGAAAGAAGGGGACTCCCCGAATTCAATGTAATGTGTTTATGAAGCGCATGCTTATGTTTTTTGTTCAGTGAATTGCGTTTAGTGATTGTGTAAACATTTATGTACATAATGCGTAAGATGGCGAGGTCAAACCTGAGCTTAAAAGAAAAAAATTGAATTCATCAACGTTAGTGAGAAAAACAATTTGTCTGTCCGCGCATTGGCCGAAAGGTAAGTTATAATATTAAAATCGTGCAAAAATTATTAAAAAAATTTTTTTTGTGTGTACAATTTTTTTTTAAATCAAACACAATCGTTTAGTACTACAAAATTTAGTATTATATTCCTGTTTCACATATTTTTGCATCATAAACACACTGAGTTCCTGTTGGAATACCTTATTGAAAATGTGCCCAATTTTTGTTATCAGGTTCAAAATTGGAAAAGCGCAGGCTGCGCTGGTTATTAAAAATAAAGAAGAAATTCGAACAAAATGGATGTCTGGGAGCAATGTCGAATCAAAAAGGTCATTCACGAAGATCGATGGAAAAAAAGTTGATGAAATGTGTTTAGACTGGTTCAATAAGGCATGAAGGCAAAACTTTCCAGTGTCTGGACCAATAATCCAAGAAAAGGCAAGAGAAATTGCTCGAAAGCTGGGGATTAATGATTTCGTGGCTTCTAACGGTTGGCTACAAAAATGGCGGAGCCGTCATAATATAACATTCAAATACATTTGTGGTGAAAGTGCTGCTGTTGATATGCAAGATGTGCAGCAATTTTTAGATAAACTACCATCATTTCTGATTGGTTATAGCCCTAGAGATGTCTACAATGCGGACGAGACAGGCCTTTTTTTTTTTAGAGCTTTGCCAAACAAAACATTGGGTCTTAAAAATGAAGTATGCCGTGGAGGTAAACTATCGAAAGAAAAGTTGACTGTCTTTCTTTGTGCAAATATGGCAGGGGAAAAAGAAAAACCCCCCATACGGAAAGCTGCACGACCGAGAGCGTTTGCATCAATAGATTTAAAAAAGCTTCCAGTAAATGGGCAGTCCAATAAGAAAGCATGGATGACGCGTGAAGTGATGACACAGTGGTTGAAAGAACTCGACAAAAAAATGGAGATGGAAAACAGAAAAGTACTTTTGTTTTTAGACAACGCAGCATTCCACCCTCGAGATATAAGTTTGAAAAATGTTAAAATCCTATTTCTGCCTGGTAACACCACTTCAGTTTGCCTTTGGATCAAGGAATTATTCAAAATAAAACGTTTTAGAGGCAATACATTTCATAAAAGAAGCCTGAGCAAATGTTCAACCGCAAACCGTTAAAAATTGCTTCCAAAAGGCAGGATTTGACAAAAATAGAAATCTGGCTCCTGAATTCGATCCCGAAGATGACTTGCCGTTATCAACGCTGGCTTCGGATTTGAATTATCAAAAGCACTTGGAGAGTGTACTCGTTCAAATCCGGATGACTTTGTCCAAATAGATAATAATGCATGGACCGAAAGCTCAGACTTCGAGTTAGACGTTATAATTG